AATGTAGTCAGTTGGGATTAACCCAAACTTATGTCTTGGTTGTACCATACCCTTGTTTGTCGTTTTCTCCATCAATGGAGTCTTTCCTTCCAATAGGTGGAACAACTCAATTGCGAGGATATGGTGGAGCTTCACTACATCTAAACTTTGTTCGGCAATACAGATCTCATCTTTCAGAAGACTCAGGAGCATCTATCCTTTGTCATTCGTCTTCTCCATCATTGGAGTTCTTCCGTCTAGTCGGTGGGACAATTGAATAGTAGGGATTCTGTGGTGCTTTGCCACATCTAGACTTCATTCATCGATACAAATCTAGTATTCTGACAATGTTAGGATTATTGGTTCTTAATCATTTGTCTTCTCCAATATTGGAGTCCTTCCATCTAGATGATGAGACGAGTCAGTAGCAATGATGCGGTGGTGTTCCATCGTATTTGGACTTTGTTCTTCGATGCAGATCTGGTCCTCCAACACTTTCATAAAATATAGTCCTTTATCGATCATCGTCTCTTTCATCGGAGTCCTCTAAAATGAGGCATTAGAACGACTAAACAATAGTATAGTGGTGTACGCCATGTCTGGACTTCATTTGTCAGTGCAGATCTGGTCTCTCTATATCCATTAGTGCATATCTGGTTTTCCGGCACTCTTCAAAGTATTAATTTGTTATCCTTTGTCTTCTCTGTCAACAGAGTCCTTCTCCACAGTGGCAACAAAGGTATCTCTTTCTTTCCCCTCACCAGAGCTTGTCATAGAACAGTGTGGTACTCTCTCCCTTTGGTCGCTGTTGTCTCTATCAAGGGAGCTATGTTGGGGTGACTTGCCGACGATGACATGACGTTGCTCTACTACATCGGTGGTCTATTCGTTAAGGTCTGCAAAGTCTTCATGCCTTCTAGAGAATGCTGGACCGTTATCTTTGGTTCTCTCCGTCATTGGAGTCCTCTCTCCTAGTCCAGAATGGGGTGTATCTTCGATTCTCATCGCTGGAGTTCGTCACGAAACAATCAATGGTTTTCCCACAAACAGCGCCAATTGTGCGGGGGTGATTTTCGCACTATGAAAAAGGGTTGAACTTCATGGATGAACAACGTGCTCTGGGAATTGCAGATCTGCACAGAGTAACAAACGGTGAGACTGCCCGACCAAGATTTGGTCGGAAACCCCTCTGATTGTAAAGTCAGGGACTTAAGGAGATCAAAAAGAGAGAATACAAAGAGTGTATATATGTTAAGTGTGTGGATTTTCGGATCCCTTGAGAGTGAATAGTGTTCACCTTTTATAGGAGAAGGTTGTTTGTCGTTCAAGTCCTTCTCTTTCCACCATATGTCCAATGTGTCTTATTCGTGGTCGTCTCCCATTGGAGGAGGACGACCACTCTGCCTGATACTCGGGTGCAGGTCTGTTTTGTTTGTCTCATTAGCAGACATCTCTCATTGGAAAAGGACAACCACTCCGTCTGTCATTCAGATGCAGGTCTGTCACCTATGCACCTTGTCCCTCTACACCTCCATGTCTCCACGTTCTGTTCATACAGAAGGAGAGGAGCAGAGTTGTTTGTCTCTTGTGGGCCCAAGAAAGATCTTCAGTGAATTGGCCTTCTTTGAGTTGGCCTACTCTAGAATGGTTGTCCAAGCAGGAAGTCCAACATGTTGCTCACCCCACTTCGGAGTGGTTGTCTGTCTATCCAGGAGGTTCAACGTGTTACTCAACCTACTTCGGAGTGGTTGACTGCTCGTCCAGGAGGTCCACCATGTTGCTCGGCCCACTTTAGAGTGACATTCGTACATTAGGCCGAGCTCCAATGATTGTCTTGCTTCAGAGCAAGTGTTGGCCATAAGGCCAAGATCCAACCTAGCTCAACCTCGGAGTGAGGATCGCATTGGGCCTAGCACCAAGACTTGATTAATTTTTACCCACTTCAGCTAACAAGAGCAGGTTAGGGGTTTCATCTCTATTGTGTTTACGCTATCAGAAACCTAGTCCTTAACTTGATTGATACGTGTTTAAATCTGCAGTGGCAGTGGAAGTGACCACAAAGGTGGATGTTGCTGGTGAAATATTACAAATCTGCACCTCTTGACCTTGCCTCTCTCTCTCTCTCTCAAATCACTACCGTAGCTGCAGATTTGAGTTGATGATAAGACGATGACAGCGGTGTGGATGAGATCGACGAAGGGAGAAGGAGAAAAAGAGGCGGATTTTGTAAGAGAGCAATGTCAAAGACAACTTCGATGAGTGCCCTATGATTATCAGTGCATCACAAAAGCTTGATTGGAGAGCAGAGCTGGAGCGAAAGGACCTTAAGAACGAAGCCCTCGCAGTCCGACTCAATGTGCCACAACGACGGCAAAGAGGGAATAGAGGTGGGAGGTGTGGTGCCAAATTCATAATTGTCGGAGTGGGAAGAGATCATTAACAGAGGAGGGCGGAGGAGCACGACGGAGAAAACACAAACAGATAGATATATATATAGAGAGAGTGAGAGAGAGAGAGTTTGAAAAGAGAGAGAGCGTTAGGGTTTGGAGAGGTTAAACAGTGTTATATGATATATATATATATATATATAAGGGTTTTTTTGGTCATTTTACTTAAACTTGTCCTTTTGGACAAAGTATTTCAGCGCCTAAACTTTTGGCCAAACAAAATTGAGATTTGAATTTGTGACTTGAGTGCCCAAATTTTAATTAGAGAGTGGGCAAGAAAGAATACAAGGAAATTATGATACCTTGTAGAGTGTTAGTTCTTCCAAATTTTCATTGAAATTCTTACTCTCAATATATAGAATCATTCTCCAAATCAAATACAACAATCAATATATGCATTTATTCTTTAATATTTTTTGAGTACCTACATTTTAACTTTTTAAAATGCCTTGTTTATACATTTTGTTTGAATTTATAATTATTATTCGTTCTCATTAACAAATTTTAACTTCTATCAAGTTGGTCATACAATGACCAACTTCATTTTGCATTATTTCTATTCCACTAATGTAAAATTCATCAATTATTTGTCATTGATAATTTTAGTTATTGTTTATTTTATTTGTGTAAGTATATGGATCATTGGTAACTAGTGTTTTAGTGACAATAAACAATGACAAATAAGCTATTTTTTATGATTAATATATCGTGATTATACAACTAGTATTTTGTAAGATTACATTGTTGACTACATTAGCCAAATCTCGGTCACAACAATATGGGATTCTGGAATTATGAATGGGGAAAACATGTTTCTTGCTTTAATATAGAAGCTCATATCCATTTCTTCCAAACATGTTATTTCAAAATAGACATAAACAACATAACAATAATTATGTTTTCCTACCTCATAATTCCGAAATCTCATGTTATTGTTATAAAAATTTGGTCAAAAAGTAAACGTATGTCAACAATGCAACTTAAAAAATATCAGTAATAATAGGCCACGATCCACAAAAAATCCCATTTGACAAGGTTTATTGTAAAGATGGACGTGAGTCAAGCTGGTTTAGATTAGAGCCAAACCTAGAAATGAACCAATGTGATAATGATTGATTCCAAATTTTTAGATCCAAAACCAAACCAAACATTGTTTGAAAACTAACCCAAATAAACTCAGGTTAGAAGTGTAGTTCCAACTATTTTTTATTTTATTTTATAAATTCTTATTATAAAACAAAATTTCAAAGAAAAAAAGAGTTATGAAAAAATCTTTTGAAATTACCAATTTGTCATGGTCAATTCCATTTTAACTCTTTAAGGATATAATTATTGAATGAAATCATATATGATATATCTATAAAATACATATAGTTGGTTTGGGTTAGTCTCAAACTAAATCGAGAACCAAACCAACCTAGTAGGGTTAACCATTTTTAGACCTAGAATCTCATATTAACAACAACTAACCCATTAATCCATGAATTTTAAATTCTTGGCAAATAACAAATATTCAATTTTATATTAAATAATAAACATTTAAGAATTAAAAATGGGTGCTCGGGCCAAAAGTCTAAATTGTACTTTTGTTTATCCAAAAGTTCAAGCGCTAGAATATTTTGTCCAAAAAGACAAGCTCAAACAAAATGACTAACATGCCCTTCTTTATATATATCATTACACAATCCTGAAACCCTAAAACAAAAAAACAAGTCGCGCTTCCTCTCTCTCTTTCTCTCTTCGCTCATCTTCTCTCTTCGGCCGCTCTCTCCAGCCGCTCTCTCTCTCACCCACACTTGAAACCCTAACTTCAATCACAGAGAAAACCAAAACCAAACCATTCTTCACTGAAATTTGAGGACGACAGTGCACCTTCAAAGTACGAGAGCATAGCCCTGATCATCAGCGCGTCACCGGCATCGTCGGCAATCCTCCCTCTCTCCAACACTCTAGTGGCCCCTGGAAAGTCCACAGCGTCGCTCGCAGCCCTCGTCCCCATCGAATACATCCAGTGCGATGCATCCAACGACGCAACGCACCACCGAAGCCTCCTTCAGAGGGTTCAGAATCACCATGATTCTGAGTGAGGAAGGGAGTCCTAGGGCTCCGACGATGCCTCTGCAACCTCCTTGTAATACCAGGTTAGGGGTTTCATCTATATTGTGTTTATGCTATCAGAAACCTAGTCCTTAACTTGATTGATATGAGTTTAAATCTGCAGTGGCAGTGGAAGTGACCACAAAGGTGGATGCTGCTGGTGAAATATTAGAGATCTGCACCTCTCGACCTCGCCTCTCTCTCTCTCTCTCTCTCTGATAATTATGGTGATGATGGAAACTTTCTAAGACAATATAGGAAAAAGAACAAGTAACTAGTTTGCAAGAACAACCATTCTTATCTTTCCTTCTCCATATTGATATAGGGTGCTGCATTCATCTCAGAGGCACAATATCAACAGCCAAAGAGCCAAACTTCAGCCCCATTAACGATCCCAAACCCGAACCCTACATTTTCAATAATATTTCCCCCATTTTCTTAGCAGACAATCAGAATAATAAAAATGGAAAATTTTACCGCTTAGAGAAGGGGGAGGTGACGGTGATCTTGCTCTTTTCACGAGAGACGGTGACGGAGTCGCGAAGAGCTCAGGCCTTGCCGCCGACCTTGATGCGTTCCTGGAGCAACTTTTCCAGTGAAGCGACGTCCATGATCTTATCTTCCATCGGCTTCGCGCAGTCAATAGTGAACATCACTCTCTTCTTCTTCCCCTTCGCACCACCAACACCACCGGCAGCGGCTCCGCCGCCTCGACTCATGGTCGCTTTGTCTACAACCACAAGCCGATAGTGACAGACTGAAACTCCAAATATATATATATATATAGAGAGAGAGAGAGAGAGAGAGAGAGAGAGAGAGAACACGCCGCTGAAATGACCCAACCGCCTGGTTAGGTTTAGGGTTAGGGTTCGCATGCATAAAGTGCTGCTGACGTCGTGCGAGTCGAGAGTGATTACGTGGGCCGTAGCCGTGGGTCATTAGTTTGTGGATTGTTAAAATGAAATGGGCTCGGCCCTCTATAATTTTTGGATTTGGAGATGGGTTGTTTTTAGTGTTGGAATACTGTTGATCAAATTTGACTATTAAATTTTGAAGATGACATTGACATTATAAATTTTGAAATTTGGAGATATGTGTTTATTTTTGCCACATTGTTGATTAAATTTGAGTATCCAAATTTAATATTTAAATTTGTTACCCATTGAACTTGATTTTATTCATTCAAATATTGAGGGCGAGCACTGGAAAAGTATATTGGGTATGTTTAATGCAACTTTCTCATGTTTAATATTAATATAATCAGAAAAAAATTAAAATTTTCACCCTTTCATCAGTTTCTAAATAATTAGCTCTTTTTAACTAATTTTTTATCATATACATTACAAGTAAAAGTTGCATAAAACATTCTAGCATAAGTTCTTAAAATAAAATAAAATCATTTTAAAAAATTACAACGAGAATTTATAAACTGCACCAAACAACCTATAATCCTTGCGTGAAGTCTCTTCAAGTCATTTTAGACTAAATAATCCAAAAAAAGTCAGATGATGCATATCTAGGAAGACTACTATGGCCCTGTTTGGTACAGCTTAATTTCAGCTTATTTCAGCTTTCAGCTTAATTTAAGCTATTTTGATGTGTTTGATTTAGCTTATAGCTTATAGCTTATAGCTTATAGCTTTGTGGAAGTCAGAAAACAGCTTATTCTTTGAGTGGGGCAGGAGATGCTTTAAGAATAAGCTGGAAATCAGCTTAAGCTGAAAGTTATAAGCTATAAGCTGTTTAGGCATAAGCTATAAGCACTTTCCCACAGCTCTACCAAACAGGGCCTATATATATCCCCAATAAAAATCATGGAAAGTGGTATCAAAATATGTTAATGTTTGAGATAACATGAAATTATGATTTACAGTCAACGGTTGTTGTCCTAAAATATACCGTTGTTGTGTAACAACAGTTCTTATAATATTAAATACACCGTTGTTGAGTAATAACAGATCTTATAATATTGAAAATGAAAGACAAAAACAAATTACATAATAGAAGGCAGAAGAAGACAATCTACAAATGTAAAAAATGAATATCTCCAACTCTATAGAAAGAAACATATATATAGTACTCCACAAAAACATCTCTTCTTTTTCCCTCTTTGTTTTGGGACATTTATTTGTGAAAAGGAAGTGACAGAGAGACAATAAATATAGTTGTTTTAAAACATTTATTATATTCTACCCTTGCCTCTTTCTACTTTCTTCCTCACTGCGCCCTTTGGTTTTTGTCAATCTATGCTGAGGACATACCCGTGGCGCCACTGCCCTTTTCGTCACCAAATATGCGTTGTCGGAAGTCAGAAACCATGCGAGGAAGGCCGTCCCGGAGGGAGACAACCGGCTCCCACCCGAGAAGTTCTTTGGCCTTTGAAATGTCTGGCTTTCTCTTGTGGGGGTCATCCTCTGTGTTCGGCCTGAACTCTATCTTTGCATTTGAATCAATGGTCTCTTGTACCACCTGCACCAACCAGTCCAACATGATTCATAAACACTGTGCCTCTTTTTTTTATTTGTTCATCAAATAATAGATGGGGAAATGGATATAGGCTTCATACATGCATTGTACTACAAATTGATTCAATGCAATACAAAAAATATGGGCAACATCCATGTAGAAAATACCAATCGAATTTCATCAAATATATAATATAATAGTAATGCTATACCCCCCAAGAAAATGTAAAGAAAATCAATACAAAAAAAGGTAAATGTTGATTTTATCACTTCAGCAGAAAAGGGTCATCAAAATAGCTTGAATTTTAAGAAAATGTCACTCGTTGTTCCATCACTCTGGTCATGAATTCTTTATCTGTAAAAAAATTTGGAAAAATCGATTTTTCCATAATAGAATGGTGGTGATGATTGCTTCAACAACATCAATTCATTATGAATATTTGATGATAATGTAATGATGCTTCATTAAGTTCCTAAAAATGCATGGTGACCACAACATGGTTCAGATTGCATTATTTTCTGTTGATTTAAATTTCATATCTGTTCTTCCAACAATATATGAATAAATTTGTGAAATTGATGAGAATGTGAATATATAATTCAAGAACCAATTTACCTGGGCAAGTTCAAGCATGGTGAATTCACCAGGGTTGCCAAGATTGAAAGGACCAACATGTTCCCCTTCCATCAATCGCATCAAGCCCTCCACCTGTTCATCAGGTACAGACACGACACAACATCTCTAATTAATTTTAGTAATAAAACGAAGAGTATACTAGTACAGGATATTCAGAAGTTTACCCCACAACCCCAACACCTCTAATTAATTTTAGTGACAAAATAATATGAGAGGACAAGATATTTAGAAGGTTACCCCACAACCCAACCACCACCCAATCCTTGGGAATTAATCGATTGGGAAATTAAGCCATGATAAAAGCCTCAAAAGATATAGGACACAAGTTCAAATCTCATGAAATGCTCAACTCTAAGGCTTGTGTTCAATAATTACTAGTATGTGTGAGACGTAAAAACTACATATATCTAAGTGATTAATCACGACAAAGTCTCAGATACCCTCGTTACCAATAACAAAACAAAAAAGTGACCACCATCCTTCCCGTACATCTTACACTCCCCTCCTCCCCCTACCCCACAACCACAAAAAAGGAGAAATGATAATAAACATTTCAACAAAACAATCACAGTTTTTTCCTTTCTTAAAACATCATAGCTACTCTTTTAAGAAAGTATTTTAAAAAATAGAAAATACTAAAGCGAGTGTCATTTTTCAAAACATATTGACCATGAATAACTAGAACATGGTAGGGAAAAGAACATCATAAGCATTTCCTAAAAAGACTAATTACCAAGTCAGAGACGTATTGGAAACTCCTAGTTTGCTTGCCATCCCCATAAACAGTCAATGGCTCCTTTCTTAATGCCTGTATGTCCATTACGATTAAAAATCAATGAACACAAATACTACAACAACATGAAACTATCTTAAAAACATTGTATTGTTCAATAATCAGGAAAATGTAAAAGAGGGGCATATAAAAAATACACCTGGGCGACGAAATTGCTAACGACACGGCCATCGTCGATGCACATACGTGGTCCATAAGTGTTAAAAATTCTAGCAATCCTCACCTGCAAAGCCCATCAAAACATACCTAAACTTCATCAATTGAAAGTAATGATAACACTTTTGGTCAAAGCAATGCATAATTTATTATTGAGTAAATGTTGAATATAACATGTGGTGGTGTTATTAATTAATGAGAAGGCTACATGATGAGGTTAGTGGGAGATAAAAATATCTATTGAATTGCATTTACTGTTTTATTAGTCAGTGAGACTATCCCATCATTGTTGTACTCAATATTTGTTTATTATTATTATATCTAAAAATCATATTTGGGTATTTATTTGAATTGGTGTTTTACAAAGGACTAACAACATCATGTTTGGGGTCCTTCTTCATCTAATAAAATTAAGGCAAATATTTTATAATGTAGTTAAGGTTATGTAAAATGTACATACAAATATAATATTTAGATCCCACCCTAAAACCATTCTCCCAAAGCTAATTGTAGTTCACCTTTTTTTAAAGGAAGTGGCCCTTGTCTCATTTGCAATCACGTTTTTCAATTGTCAACGACCCTAATTTAAATATTGATCTACATCACTTTAGAATGAATCATATAAATTATAACAATGCTACTTTATCCTTGGTCAAGAATTTTATAAAATTCTTGTCTTTTTTATTTTTAATAATGTACTTCAATGGTAGAATGTGGCCAGAATCTTACAATTGGTAAATTTTGGGACATATTTGTAACTATAGAAAGGAATAAAAAGGTAAATCAATACTCAAAAACCTCAATGCCAAGTCCTCTGTGGTAGTCCATGGTCAAAGTCTCAGCAGTACGCTTTCCCTCATCATAACAGCTCCGAACACCTGGTCCGAGCCCAACCCCAAACCCGACAAAAACAACATGGGTCAGATTCTACTTTCTGCGCATTATTGAAATACCAAAAATACCCTCCTGATGTCAGACAAGTTCAGTCGCCGAGTTGTGGAGAGTGAGTTGACTCACCGATTGGGTTGACATTGCCCCAGTAGGTCTCGACCTGGGGGTGTTGGAGAGGATCACCGTACACCTCGCTGGTGCTGGTCAGCAAGAACCGCGCACCAATCCTCTTTGCTAGTCCTAGCATGTTCATTGTCCCCACCACATTTGTCTTGTAAACCCCATCAATACCAACTTCATAAAATCAAGGACCCTCAAAGTCTCAACTCAACATCATATGGTTATTTGCATTTAAATTTTTTTTTTTTTAAATTTCTTGTTTTTAATTATATTTGTTCTTAGTTTGCATGAAATTACATTAAATAAGTTTAGAATTTTGCAATTATATACATGTATGCATAGAATATAGGGAAATATTGGTGTAATAATATTAAACTTCAACTTCTGCAGAAACACAAGAAACAGAATTTCAAAAATCAAAATGCATACCCAAGCTCAATTTTCATACTTTCACAATTCTAAGGTTTCATTTGGCATATTAATAAGTAAATTTACCATAGTTAAAAAAAGTTCATTTGGTTAAAAAAAATTAAGTCGTTTGAAATACTCTAACAAATCTAAAAAATTATGAATATGATAAACTAATTAAAAAAATTTAACATTAACTTTTTATTAATTTATTTTTAATTAATAAATTAACTTTTTAACAAATTCTCAAAAACGCCTAATCACTAACCAAAATTCAACACTTTTATAAGCTTATTATAAGAGAGGTCATGTCAAATTTTGAGCTATTTTGAGAATATGGTTAAAATTCAACTTTTTAACTTTCAATATATTTTTGTTCACATCCTCTCTCTATTTTTTTATATATATTTTTTTTTCACCACTTGCATTCTAAGCAAATGTTTTTTTTTTTAATTTTTTTATCTATTTTTGTTTTTTTCCTCTTCCCTGCAATTTTTTTACTATTTTCGTGCTAACCATATACCAAAATTTCTATTAATAACATAAAATCTTGGGAAAATTATAGAAAAAATCTCATATTTTCACCCTTACAAAATTTTTAGTTTTGTTGATTTAAATATTATTTTTATTTTTTATTTAAAAAAGAATTTTTATTTAAATTTTTGATATTAAAATTTTATAAAATAAAAGATATATAATATTTTTATAATAGTTAGAATCTCTCGACATATTCATAGAGAAAATTCAACTCAAAAAAATTTAGTCTCAAAGAAATTTTGGTCCCGACACAGAGAAATTTTAAAATTTCTCTGATATGAGTATAGAAAAATTTCATTAAGAGACTTCCACTAATAAAAAAAATATCTTTGACCTTTTTTATTACACAAATTTTGAAAGATATGTTTCATTAATTTTTTCTTTTTTTCACCCTTATTCATCAAAAAATTATCAATTAAAATATCAAAACAATAGCATCATCTAATATTAAAAATAAAAAGTCCAAAAACATTAACTAGTATCATTTTATTTTGAATTAATTATATTTAGGCCTCGTTTGAGAACAAGTTATTTTAGTAATTTTTTTACTTTTGCGAAAAGATGTGCAGAAAAGTAGAAAGAGTGATGCGATAACTTATAGTGACTCTTTAACTAAAATGTATAGTTGACAAACGAGACCTTAAAATCTCATTTTATTCTTTTACTTTCAAATAGTTCTTTGAACTCAAATTGTAAATCAACCATTAATAAAGTTGACAAAAATTAAAAGAGATGCCAAAGTAAGATTTTGGTAAAAATAACTTTTAATAAATGTGTAAACATGCTAATCAGAAGAGAAAATGTATGAAATGATCAATTACAACTTATTAACACTAGATGGACAAAAGAGTGACATTACAGTGTGATTTAAAGTGTAAAAAGTTGATTATTAGAACTAAAAAAAGTGAATGAACCAAAATAAAAATTTATTAGTGACTTATTTTGAAAATTGATTTTTTTACGAAAATAGGTATAAAAAGATAAAGTGAATAATTGATTTTTTTTTAGTGACCGTTAACTAAAGTATCTTTTCCAAAAGAGGCCTTATCTTTCCATCATTCCAAAAAAACATGTTTTTAAAAAACATTTTGATCTACCCAAGAACAGCTATTTAAAATCCCAAATATCGTTGAACAAAAATAGAAAGAAGTGAAATGAGAGAGAAGAAAGGAAAAAGGATATAACGGTCTTAACAGGGTTGAACTTGTAGTGAACAGGCGAGGCAGGGCAAGCCAGGTGGTAGATCTGGTCCACCTCCAACAGGATGGGTTCGACCACATCGTGCCTTATGAGCTCGAACCTTGGGTTCCCTAGGTGGTGCATCACGTTCTCTTTCCGACCCGTAAAAAAATTATCAACTACGATCACGCTATCCCCCCTCTCCATCAGACGGTCCACGAGGTGGCTCCCCACAAACCCGGCCCCACCCGTCACCACTATCCTCAAACTCTTCTTCTTCAACCCCAATGGTATCTTTCCACCTGAAAATTCATTATTCCATATCCAAAATAATTCATGGTTGCTTTTCCAAGATGCCCCACAATAATCAAGAACCAAAAAATATATATTTAAATAAAATTCATAATATTTATTAATTGATAGTTTTTATATTGTTTTTTAAAATAATAATATATAATTGATGGAACTCAATAACGGTTAAATTGATACATCACGTAAATTATTTTATTAACACAAATTAATTTCTACTCAAACCGACAGGCATATTACTATCATAGAGTTATCAGTAACAATGGAATACATGTCAATAAATTTTCAAAAATTGTTTTGCCAAAAAAAATAGTAATTACTCTATCTGTTTCAAAATATTAGTTATTTTTAGAGAATTTAATTTTTTATATAGTACTATTATTACTCTTCAAAAATATTAACCTTTCAAAAGTACTCTTCTGTGGTATAATTATTACACTTTAAAAATATTAATATTAGCTTGTGTTCAGTTGGGAGATTTAAAAAATAAAAGAAAAAACGTGTATGAACCTAGATGAAATGTAAGTATCACATTTTACCTATTTTTTTTATTTTTCTTCCCAAATTTTCTAACTAAATACAGCGCTAATGAATTTAAAAGAACGATAAAATAGGAAATTCATGTTATTTTAGTCATTGATTATAAAAAAAGTGACTAATATTTTAGAATAATAAAAAATAGAAAGAGACTAATATTTTGAGACGGGAGAAGTATAATTTTTCAAGAATAAAGTAATATAGCTCAAATGAAAGTATACATTTATGGTAAAAAAAATGATGGACCTGATTTCTAATCTATTATTTTATATCTTCCAAAATCCGACTTTTAGGTTAATTTAGATCGAAATTCTGTATGATATACAAAATGTGGATTTACAATATGAATGACGATTGTTTAACAAACGAAAATATAACTAATCTAACTTTTCAATTTCTACTTAAAATAATTTTTAAAAAAATTAAGGGATTAATTTGACAATAACATGTTTGGTTAGAGTTTTCCAAAAATTCTTTTCAGAAAATTTTACTTTCTTATTTTTTTTTGTTCTTTTGTTTTTACTGAATTTTTTAATGTTTTAATCAATTTTTTTTACATTTTAGACATATGTAACATAAATATACCTAAAAAGTAAAAAAAATTACGAAAGAAACCTTTTAAAAATTCACTAAATATCAAAAATACAAAAAAAAAATACGAGAATTTAGTATTTTTATGTATTTATTAATTTTTAAAAATATTTTTTCACAAATTTTTTATTTTTTAGATACATCTAAATAAGGTGCATCTAAAAAAGTAAAAAAAATATTTAAAATTTTAAAAGTATTCACTAAAAATAAAAAATACGAAAATTAAAAACTAAATTTTTAAAAAATTTAATATAAAAAACTCAAACCAAACACACTGATGAAATTTTAGTCACCTGCGTTGACACGTCCCAACTCGCTGTGTATTTCGTACGCGACCCGGCGAGGCAGGTGAGTGGACTCGTCCTGGCGAAACGAGTCAGCGATCTGCACCACATGCGGTGGCGAAGCAGGCCAAGCGGTGGCGCTGAAGAAGATGGCGGCAGCGGCGAATCCGATCAAAGCGAAGACGAGCCGCTGGTCTCGGAAAATATAGCCAATGCGGTTGGTTTCGGAGACCGAATTTCGACGTTTTGCTTCGTCGCCTTCACGGATCAACTCAGTCTCCATTTTCATTCCTTCGTCGATTCGAGAATTCATATATACACACACATATACACGCACATATATATATATATAGAGAGAGAGAGAGAGAGATAATAGAGAGAGAGAGAGAGGTGTGAGAGAGACTCAAAGGGAAGAGTTGGGAGGTGCAGAGTAAGAGGCTTTTGCATGAATTTTCGCCGCGATATCGCTCTCCGGCGCGTGACTGGTGATTTGTTTATTATGCTATTATCATCGTCGTTGTCCTCATCGTTTTAAAGCCATTTCGCTCTCTCTTGAATACCAGCAAAGTTTGGTTTTAATTACGAAAACATGTCATTTTCTTCTTAATAATTTTAATACACATAGGACATAGGATTTTTTAGATGAATCAATAGTCACTTTCTAACTTTTAACTCATTTCAAATTTTATCATTTCTCACAATTTTTACATATTGTTTTAAAAAAGAATTTAAAAAAAAATCAAAATGTGAACTTTTTGTTTATGGGAAGAAAGTAAAATGTATAAAAAAAATAGAAAAATTAAAAGTTAAAAAAATAGCTTTTATCCCATAATCGTATCACAAGACACAAATTTCCCCACATGATGTGAACATTTAATCCCAACTTAGGTTTTGTTTGGGAAGATAGTTGGGGTGGGTTTGGACTAACATAGTAACAAAAAATAAAATAGATTTTTTAATTTAATAAGATAAAACATCACATCTAACCTATAATCATTATATTCTTTCTCTCACAAAAAAAATCAAAAAAGTCAACCCACTTCCCAAATCAAACTTTTTAACCTTAAGCTAAAATAGTCAAAAAAAAATCAAAAAGCCAACCCACTTCCCAAACGAAACCTTAGTGTTAGATGTACAACATTTTAAGTCTCCTATTCTTTAATATAAAAATTTAAATAAAAAAATGTGTAAATCCGCATCATGTGAAAATTTTTATGTTTAATTGTTCGAATTTCATGCTTGTAGAATAATTATTTTTTTCTCAGTAATGTTATGAAAAAATATTAAGACTTACAATTTATGTTTCAAAATTTTATTTACAATAATTTAACAAGTTGTACATCAACTTTTAGTTTGTCACTTGTTCCAAAAAAACAAAAATTTAATTTTCAGAAATTAAGTCCAACCGAATGACTTATGAAATTTAAATTATGAATTTCAAGCATTTCTTGTAATATTAAAAAAAAAAAACAAGAAACTTTAATATGAAAGATTTATTCAAGAAGTGAGCTTTTTAAGAGTTGAATCTTAGGCCTCGTTTGAGAACAGGCTAATTTAGTAACTTTTTGGTTATTTGGCTAAAAAGGTAGGTAAAAAAAACTTGTATCTTTGAGATGACTTTTTGGCTAATTACGAAAAGATGTGCAAAAAGTAGAGAGAAAAGAGAATCTTTGACTTTTTGGTATGAGTTGTTGATTTTTTGGCTAATTTAGTAACTTTTTAGCTAATTAACTAAAATAGCCTCTTGCCAAACGAGGCCTTAATAACACAAAATCATTCAAGACATGTTTTTTGTAAGTATATTCAAGTATAAAATATATGCACATATCTTTACTTGTAATAAGATTCCAAACTGGTTTATTTTTTATTACTATTCCCAAGTCAAATGATCAGACCAAATAGTAGAGAGAGAGAGAGCAAAGGTACGATCATAGCTTTCTTCTTACCATGTATCTGAACATTGTTTTTACCTTATAACAAGAAAGAGAGAGTATCTTATTTGAAAAGGTAGAGTACATTGGGTAATCGAAATTTCTTAAAAATAATCAGTATATTTGATTTCAATTTTCTAAATTTAGTATTTTGAAAATTAGATTTTTTTATTTTTTTCATATTTTTTTGATTTTAGTAAATATTTTTAAAATTTTAATTAATTTTTTACTTTTTTAGATGTATTTTACTTAAATGTATCTAAATAGTATAATATAAAAAATATATTGAATTTTCATTTTTTTTTTTGTATTTAGTGAATTTTTTTTAAAAAAAAAAATCACAAATATTATACTTTTTAAGTGTATTTATATTAGGTGTGTCTAAAAATTAAAAAAAAAAATACTTAAAATATTTTTAAAAATTCAGTGAAAACAAAAAAGTAAAATTTTTTGAGAAGTGAATTCTGAAAACAAAAACCAAACAAAGTTAATAATTTTAGTACAATCATTTTCATTTTCTTTTTCTTTTTTCTGTTTGTACAATTAATTATGAGTGGAGATTTTTCATTTTTTATTTTACTGTGATAGACCAAATAGTTGGATAAAACCTTTGGCTGCATCCATCTTTACTCAATGATTGGAATAAGCATTTGGTTCTATTAATTAAGAAGTTGACACGTCATTTAAAATAAAGATATAAGAATCAGAGATGAAGCCAACTCATTTGGGACCAAAATCCTCCTTAAGCTATGTTGTGTGTCCTGTAACCCAACAACAATATGTTTTAACAAAGAGCAATGTTATATATATTAACAGTTGTGTTATTAACATAAAAAAATTTCACAAAATAAAATACAAATGTAAAACTATCGTTTGGAAACAGGTTAATTTAATAATTTTTTAACTATTTGACTAAAATATGAACTAAAAAAAATTAGTATGTTTGGAATGACTTTTTAACTTTTTACGAAAAAATGTGCAAAAAGTAGAGAAAAAAAAGAATCTTTCACTTTTTGGTATGAATTATTGACTTTTTGACTAATAATAATTTTTTGACTTTTTAACTAAAAAGAAGGTTCCCAAACGAAGCCTAATAGCCACTCCCATACGTGAAAATGCTATACATAACAACTGGGTTATGAACGCAGATAATTTTCATAGAATAGAAACTAATGGCAAATCCCTACACCGTCTTACATTTCCGTCCCATTCTTTACATTTCTCATTCTACAAAAATCTGTCCACTTAAATTTACGCTATAAATAATCACATTTCCTACTCTAATTTTTCAATCTTAGACATAAGTTAATAAAACCCACATTAATAAATGCATGTGGGACTCACTCATACCTAAAATAGTAAGAAAATTTAATAAAAAATGAGAATATACATATATATATATATATATATATATAACTAGAATTTTCCTTCAGAAAAATTGGGTAAAACGACATAATGTTTACAACGCATCTAATTAGATATTTCCTAATCCATTTATTTCTAATTTCATGTTTAGATTAAGGGCAAATTACATATACCTCCCTTGAGGTTTGGCTAAATTATAGATATCCCCCTGACGTTTCGGAAATTACATCCCGCCCCCCTAAGGTTTGCATTTTTATAACAATTTACCCCCTGAGGTTTAAATTTCATAACAAATTACCCCCTAATTTGTTATGCAAATATAGCATTCAGGGAGAAATTTGTAATTTCTCAAATCTCAGGAGAGTATTTGTAAGTTAGCCAAACCTCAAGGGGGTATATGTAATTTGCCCTTAGATTAAATATTTTTTAAAAAAAATTGAGTTATTGCAATATTTTGATTAGGTGAGGGAGATAAGAGCATCCACAGTGGAGCTGCTAAGGATAATGTTAGTGTCAGTTATTAAATTTTAGCTACCAACATTTGTTGTTTGGTGCTGCAGTAGATCTGTTAACGTGTGTGTTAATGCTGTGTATTAATGTCAGTTGTTAAGTTATTTGTTATCTGCAGCAAGCGTTTTATCTAGGGAAAGGGAGCCTTTTTTTGTGTTACCAGTTGACCGGTCAACGGCAATTTTTTTTTTTTCTTTTTTTTAACTCGTTGGGATTTTTTTTTTAGACTTGAAATTTACTTTTGGGCTTGAAATTTTTGATTAAACTAAATTATTTATTTATTTTATTTATTATATACATATATATATATATATATATATATTTAAAACACACCTTAACACACCCCTTAACACATCCATTGCACCACCACTCATTCTCTAAAATTAACAAACTCTTAACACATCTTAACAAACATTTTTGAGTCCTACTTTTATTACTTTTTGTCATAGTAAACCATCTTCAACGCTTCACCAAACCTAGCATCAAATTTAAAATTTGGTGAAAAAGTCACTTTTTTTAGCTCCAACAGTTTCACCAAATCGATATCAAATCAAGAATTCACCAAACCTTTCACCAAAATGAAAACAGGTGCAGCATTTCACCAAATCATTGTTCTTGACCGTTGGCATTGACCAACCGGTCGACCAGCCGATCGACCACTAAAGGGTTCAAACAGTTCCAAAAAAAAAATTCAAACAATTTAAAAAAAAAAAATTTGCCTTACCGATCGTCCCGAAAAAAAATTCAAACAGTTCACTGAAAAGGTTCAAACAATTCAAAAAAAAAAATTGCCTTCACCGATCGACCGGCCGGTCAACCAACCGGTTGTCCCGACGCAGATTTGATGAAAATTTAATTTGATGAACCATTGGAGCCCTCCGTATCAGAATGAGAAAAAAGTTACTTTTTTACTTAGATTTGATGAAAATTTTGATAAACCGTTGGAGATGTTCTAACACACACCTTAATACACTTTTTTAGCCATCCCATTGTGGATGCCCTAAGGTAAAAGAGGATAAAAAAATCAGATGGTAAAAAATTTCGTGGCATTAGCAGCCTCACCCTAGGAATTTTTTTTTTTGAGAACCCACCCTAGGAATTTGTGTGTTAAATTTTAGCAATGAAAACATATATCATTGATTAGCCAAATTAATATGAATAGCACTACCCAACCAAAATTGTAGCCCAAATACCTAACATATAAAGCTCTACAAATGCATTTAATATTCCAAAATTATATAGTTTTAGATTCTACTCTAGGGTTGGGGTCCAAGTTCGTACATTTAGGTAAAATATTTAATAAAATAGTAATACTATACAACCAACTAATTTCCACAAATAGTTTGTAATATTTCCTCACCTCACAAATTATAACAAACCTAATTAAAGATAATGCTAAACAAGCATACAATTCTCACAAATTTTTCTATAACCTTCTATCAACCTCTTTTCCATAAGAAGATTTTCCGTGCTTCCAAGGCAATGCCTCAACAATTCTCAGGAGCAAACGATCATTGTGAAACCGAACGTTTAAGGCGGATCCCATGTGGTCATGTGAAAGCATTGCCCCAAGTACATACAATAATTTCGCTATGCCGTATGCAGGTGAGGGGGGATTTGAACAAGACTATTCTAATCGAACCAAAAAAATAATAATAATAATTTCCACATACTATTGCAGCCATTCATCATATAGTACTTAGGCTCTATAGGCGAAAAATAAGAGCATATTCGGAAAATATACCTCATTTCAAAATCTAAACTTTCATTGATGAAGAATATATAATAATCGAATCTTCAAAAAGGGGGGAAAATAGTAGTTAGTAGAAGAATATATCAACCACCATAACCTGCCATGAAAAGAATTACAAAGTATATAATTAATTCAGATTTCGACTAGAACTTGGCATCATGATCCATTTGTTTACATAAAAAACCAGACATCACACCAAACTTCAAGGCTGGTTTTAATAATGTCTCCCTAAAAAGAACAGCAATTAGGTCAATGACTACAGGAAGTGCTCAAAATGTATTGTCTTAGAAGCAAAGGTGTTGTGCGTCCAAACGATTGACACATGTACCATCGGCCCTAACCAAAGTTTCAATTCCATGGAATGAAAGACCCTGCCAATAAGCAGGCAAACATGTCGCTTGCTACACAAAAAATACTCCTATTCGAGGAAGTTTGGTCATAGATAACCTCATTAATACAACCCACATTCGATACAAAACTACAAGTTACTTCTGTTTTAAGTTTCTAAGGAAAGCACTAAAAGCTACCACAACTTTCAGCAAACTATTTAACGTTAAATTTCACATGCCACCTTATATGGCCTACTAGTAGACACTCCCTGTTACATCTTTGCCGATCCGTTCTTAATTTCTACTTTTTCAAACCTTTAATTAATCCTCACACAATTGCTATGACATGTTATTAAAGCTTTTTTTTATGGAGCCTATTTGAAAAAGGAAAAAGACAATACAGTGAAAGAATGTTTGGAGAGACTGACTATTAAAACCTCCGGATATCTTTAGGCGGCTTGAAGTGGAGAGGATGAGTTTCAGGGGTGGCATTTTCATCCTCTTTCCACATCTTTATGGTCTTGTCCGCTTCACAAGTGACTAACCTTGAACCAGTAACATCATATGAGAGAGCATAGATACCAGCTTCGCTATCCAACGACCCTGAAACAAAGCACATTAATGTTCACCCTTTCCCTTCCGATAAAGAAATATGACTGGGACATCATGGAATCTAAGGTGCATAAGATACATACCAGGCTGTACAATTGTTTGGGATTGCTGGAAATTATGACCACTCTTCCAGTCCCAGAACCATAAACTTCCGTTGTCACCTTTAAAAAGAAGCACAAATTTAATCAGAAAGAAGGGCAATTTGCAAATCACTGTAAGAATGAGAAAGTAACTGCAATTTCATGAAAATCTTTTTGAGTCGAGTCTTTACTATGTTTTGGTGCAAGTGTTACTTGCTAAGTTACACAGGACTTAAACAAAAATATTCATTTAAAATCACAAGTATTTTGCCAACCATTTTTTTTTTCAAGTCCCCCATGAAAGAAAGAGAGATTTCGATAATACGTTTTGTAAAGAATATATGCACCCCTCATCATTAACTTGAATTGAATCAAAATTAGGTGAAACATATTAGACTCTCACCTCCTGTAGCCATTACACCGTCTTCATTGACTGCCATTGCATTGATGATGGTTTTCTGCTGAGAACTGCATGAACAAAGGCCACCAACACCAATGTCAGATATTTGAGTATTGAAATTAATGGATATGATAAATTAAAGTTCAGAGAGAGAGAGAAGCACCAATACTCAATGTTTAAACCTCCTATTGAAATTGAGGTGTATGGGATGATTGATATAGGTGGCAAAAAGATCATTCAATGCAAGGAGCTTTATTAGCTGGAAGAATAGATTTTTGAATCTCTTCATAGAGTTGGAGCAATTTCCCCATTTCCAAAACATTGCCAAAATATAATAATGAAGAGAATAAAAATGACAGAAAGAAAGAAGGGGGAAAAAAGAAGAAGATAATAATGCCAAAATATTCATGGGGAAGAACAAACTGTACATCTTGCAGTAGCATTCAAATGATGTATATGTATAAATATTTTTAAAAAAATAAAAGATACTCACAGCATGTTGTGCATAAATTCTCCTTTTGGAAGGTTGAATTTTTTTATGTTGTCAGCTGATGCAGATGCAAAACAATTCCTGGAGCATAAAAGCAAGAAATTAAGTTTAAGGTCAAAGCAGAAAACATAATTATTGAAGCATTTTACATCAACCATAGCTGGAGGGCCTCACAAAGGAACAAATTATATTTATAGATACATACTCTTTGGGGTGTAAAGCCATTGCTCGCACAGATTTCTTATGGTGTGTAAGGGTTGTCATCGTTTTACCTGCCAAACAAAAATCAATTGCTATCATTAGAAACTTAAACGAGAAAAGAAACACAAACAAAAGCACAAAATCAAAAACCAAAATATTGATTACCAAATCTAAGATCCCAGAACTTTATCGTTGTATCATGAGAACCAGTTACAACTTGTGGATCCTGGAACAAACATTTCACAATGAGGTTTGCTCACAAGAAAAGGACTTCCTTGCCATAAATAGATGTTATAATGCACAAACTACACAGCATAACCTTTTTCTACTTTGTCATACCAGAGAGCTCAAATCCTTGTCGGAGAACAAGCCTCTCTCTCTATGCTTTCAAGATTTAGAGGAAAGGGCCGAGTCTCTCTCCACTTTCATGTTGATCACCAAAAGATGCATATTTTTGTGTTGTGTCCTTTCACATAAATTATCAAATCACCCTACGCTTCTGGCATCTCTGACATGACTAAAAAGTATAATATATCTAATAGATAAAGAAATATATTCTAATGTTGAAGCCACTCAGAAATTTTATACAGTTTCTCTCCCATAAGGTTCTGTCAATTTTATTTAGTCTAGAGGTACAAAATACTTTTTAAGCAGCACATGCAATTTTATTTCAGAAGGAACTAATATGTTTAGAATAGCTCAACATACGTGCTAACAGTTGTCAACCTATAGAATGGAGTCCTCATAATTCCAACAAGGCACAGCATCTAAGAATACTTCTAAATTTTTTATGATTTCACCTTCTTAGCTCATATGCAATTATCTTCAAGTTAACTCTCTTTTCACAACCACCATCATTCCGAAAGTTTATTTACCATAAGCGGCAAGCTTCATTTTACCAAACTATTAATGCTTCCCCTGTAATCATCGTAATAAAGAATAACTATATACACAATCCTCAGCCCAAATCACTAGAATCCCACTTTCAAGATATGATTTGTGGTCATGGACAGAAAAATGTCACAGATACAAAGCACCATACTTGTCAAGTCCATATTGTCTCAAAATGGTAGCAGGCTGACAGCAATAAACGTGTGCTTACGTATGAATTTGCAATGACAACCATATGCATTTAACTTTGTTTAACTTTAAGTTTTCATCTGGAAAAAACCTAAAGTAAACAATCACAATCGAGAAAACAGTACTGAAACCTTTTGTAAACATCGGACAGGTATTGATGTGTTTGACAAACTAATCATTGCCATGAAAGTGTCCTACATATATCTTATGAAAGCTTCGATAAGAAGACCAGTAAAAACTGTTAAAAACTATTATATGGTCTAAATTTAATCAAAATAACTCTGCACACTGCAAAAATAATATCAAAAGAAACAAGGAAAAAAACAAAGCAAAAAAAAAATTGAAAATGTGCCTATGTTAATTTAAACCATCATTTCTCTCCCACCACAGAAAAGGTTTTGCCTACCGTAGGTCGAGTAAAAACTGAGCAAACGGTGTTCTCATGCCCAGACAGTGCATGAATTTGCATCTTGCTACGGATATCCCAGACCTGAAAGCATGATGTATCATCCAAGTAAGAGAATAATCTTTCTAGATTAAATTCAAATTTTATATGCACTTCAAGGAGAGCTTGAAATACTACAGAAGTAACATTGTGTGCTGTGACTTATATGTGGTAATGAATCATACACGGCAGACAGAGTCACGACCCCCAGTGAGCAGAATGTCAATAGTCGGATGAACAGCCAAGCAATAAACTCCACTTAGATGACCATGATAAGAACGGATAACCTGAAAAAACAATTTTAAGTTTAAGCATTGTTATTACAAACATACATATAAATATGTGTATACATTATATAAAGTTCTAATCCAGCACTGCCAACCTTGTTCTGCTCAAGGTCCCAGCATTTAACTTGTTTGTCATCACCAGCAGAGAACATATATGTGTGTTTATTGCTGACGGCAAGCCCTGCAAAGAAAAAGATATAATTATACCATTCAAAATACCTGATTTACATAGTTATTATCCAAAGCATAGTTAGCCAGTCGGAATGGTACATGCCACCACAGATAAGGAACAAACCTCGTACTTGTTCAATGTGCCCGGTAAGTGTGAGCTTAAGCCTTCCACTTCCTACATCCCATATCTTGTCATCACAACAAAGGTGAGCGAATAAAAAATCCTTAGAAGCTGATCTATGGTAATATCAGTCCATCGAAGAGAAAGATAAATGGTTTTAAGAGAAGTATTCGGTCAATGAAAGAAAATATCAATATGTACATTAATCTATTATTAACTGATTGAGGTCGATATACACTAAATAAAGAAATTTCAAAATGATTTTTCGTCTACCAACATCAGTATTTAAATGGGAGGGAATATTTCCCCAACCAAAATGCCTGTAATTTACATCTCCTTTTCAAACATAGGTTGAATCCCATATATGTGAAAGAGGGTTGTAGACCAGCCATTTTGCCACAGTAATGACAGTCTCCTAAATAAAAAAATGTTGAAGGATATTTATCATTCCACAATGTGTATTAATAAAGTCATTAAGGATGTTACTTTTCATGGTAGGGTAAATACACTTGTGGAGCTCATATGACATGGGCAACACATTTTAAACATTTAAATTTTGTTTTCCTAACTATTAGCTTCCCTCACTTTTTCACTATCATTAGCCAGCATATAATATGTACATTTCCATATCTGATTTCCATTTTCATTCCCTCATACAGCAACTTGAGATTAGGCTAGTCAAGGCACCAATAAATATTGGTGTAAATAACTCTAGTCAAAGCATGTACACATTGTATTTGGTGTTTTGGCTATAACTTATATACATGGTGGTTATTTATCAAAATAGCAGCTTTGTATGTTACAGACAAAATTAAACATCATACATTACAGATAATATATTCAATATATTCAACTCACAAGGAGAAAAACCTAGTAGTCACCTGCAGAAAGGAAATTCAAAAGAGAAGGTACCTTGATAGTGCGATCTGCAGAGCCAGTACAGAACCATGTATTACTTGGATCAAATGCAATAGATCTCACCCAACCCAAATGGCCACTAATCACCTACATAAGTTAATATTTTAGAATGTCATAGAACAAATGGTATAGATTAGCAAGATTACATACAGAAACTAAGACAAGAGCAAACAAAAGATAAGAAACCATATGAATTATGACTAGCAAATAAAGTTCATAGAAACTTTTTTTGGGTATTTATGTATGTATATGCATTACCATTTTCTACATCTCAATCGACATACTGATAGGACATGAAAATGATATAGTTGCAATGATGGCAATGAAATATCATTCATTTAGGTGATAGAAGCACATATGTTGTATTCATGATCTTATTAACTAGAGCAACAACAACCATCCAAATAAATATGAAATGGGAAGTTCTCAACCCAGTCTTGTATGCAAAACTAGAGGAAAAGATGCACTTCAACTGTGTCACAAAATACATTCAGTACTAACTAAATAATACTGAACCCAAAAACTTCAGCAGAACATAAGGGGAAAAATAGAGTATTACTTAATCTATACATATTAGCATCAAGCAGGTAAAATCTAACATTGGTTACTAGCAGCAGCATCGAAGATTAAGTTTGTGATGCAGCTGAACCACATGGTCCTATAGCAATATAGCGGGAGTGCAAATTTCAAAATGAAGTTTATGACACAGCTAAACCACATTGGCATATTTTTTGTAATGAAATATGACAGAATTTCCGTGGTTGCTAGCTGCTGGAGTTCAAAATGATCATCAGTCAAAAGTAACCTTGATTCTCAACAAGTACAATACAATTCTGACATTAAAAAAGATAAACTAATTCATATACTAGGTGATGAATAAAAACAGGGACTCAAAACTCCTCCCCAGCTCCCCCCACCCCAACCCAACCCAACCCACCCCACGCCACGCCCTTACACCCTTTCCAAGAACAATAATAGAAAAGACTCCAAGAACAAGAATGTTGTTACCCTGTAGTTCTTCCATGGTGCATGCCATACAGGACGTGGCCATCTGCTTGGAATTCTTTCCATAATGGCTGAAGTTGAGAGGTTCCTGGAAGACGGTACAAAAAAGGTTGTTGCCAAGTGTGTCACATTTCCTGGAATTCAGATTCAAATGCAACCGCATAATAACTATTGATGGTGATCTAAGCTGCATATTAAGTGCAACCACAGAGCCTTAAAAACTTCCGATGAACTTCAATTTCCTAATGGTGTCGCATTGACAAGACTCTAGAAAGAATGTCATTATCACAAATGCAAGTTAAGTGCACTTCCAACAGCCATTATGCTCTAGCATGTGAGAAGTGCATCTTTGAATAATGCATACAAATGCCAAACTCAAATCTTTCTACATAAATGGTTACATATATGTCAAATTTCCAAAAAAATAATATGAAATCAACCCGTCAAAAAGGTCATCACCCATCTCATATTATGAGACCGACCCAAGGGCAGATTAAATTCAACAAACCAAAACAACAGGAATATGGATATTTAAGAAAATAGGATTTAAAAGTTTAGTTTAATCAAACTCTTTTTTCTTCGGTTTTAATTTTCTAGATGGCCACTACACCTGGACCAAATTAAAAAGAGTTAATGAATGTTCAATCTGGTAGTTTTCTCAAGAGTAAGCTAAACACATGAAAATCACCACATCTCAAATACTCTAAAAAGCAGAAGAAACAGCACAGAAAGAAGGAAGACAAGAACCTTTCAGATGAACCACCAGCAGAAACAACAGCAGTGCTTTTCCCGGAAAAACCAACATCAAGTCTGTTGAAAAATGCATAAGCACCAAATCAGTTCCATAGAAAAGTTCAGTGCGGACACAATTATGGCTCGACTGTTAACTACCAGGCATACAAAACTTGAAAAAAGGGCAAGGGCTCCATATGCCTTGCCTTTGGGTTCCAATATTTAACTAGTGTCATGCAGATTATTTCACAAATTTCCACTAGGTTATGTAATTTAATATCAATGCTAGTTTATATAAAAGGTTAATTAAAGAATTGACCTCTAAGAGTAACCGAAATGGTGGCTAATATATTTGATAACAAAGACATGAGTTATATCAGAAAATTTTGATAGGGGATATATGAAATGATACAACCACAGTTATCCCTGCAGACACTACCTAGAGCCAACACAAAATAAAAAGCTTACGCACTTTGGTTGTGCAGTTGTTCCAACAATTAAATCAGTTTGAGCCCCTCCATTACGTGCATCCTTGGAATTTTCGAGACCTGTAGACAAAAGCCAAATCCAAGTCAAAAAATAAGAAACTTAAGAGCACAACTTTTTTGGCAGGATACAGTGTGAATATGTAATATTGATATTGATGTCATCCAATTAAGACAATCTGTCACGAGTTTTTCATAATCTAGTTCAAGTCATTAGGTAGAGAAGAAAGCATGCATTAAAGAATAACCAATGAACAATGAAATGGTAATAACCCTTCTTTCCCCAACATCCAGCATCTATAAAGGACTAAGAAATTTGATTGGTGGATTTGTTTAACTGTTTATCTGAACTACTCCAGCAGAGGTACCTGGCCAAGTGGTTCATTACTTAAAAATAGTTAAGATTCCTATCAGTTCCACCTTACATGTTTTTTAAACTACAACAGGGAAATGTGTTTTAAAAAAGACACTCATCACACCTCAATGACTAGTTGATCTGACAATTTGCAATCCATGATTTGTTGTTCCTTAATAAACATAATCAGCTAACCAAAATAGATACTTCCAATTGACATCATTACATAGAAACTCTGTCTGAACAACTAACCCATAAATAAACCACCAATCTATAGATCAATTTGGCTCCTTGATCTTACCAGAATCTAGCATGCATTGTGACCAACCCAAAAACCAAGAACATCTTGGTATAGGATAATGAAATCCAGTGTGACTCCGACACAAAGTGTCAGTCATTTAGATCTAGAAGTTTGCACTTTCATAATTGATTTTCGACAGTGAAGCAAACATTAAACCATAATCAACTGCAAAATTAATCTAGTTCCACCCAGCTTCTCTGGTATGGATTACAAGACTGAAGATTCTCAAGGTCAATTTACAGAAAACAATGAACTAAAAGTGTCGATTAATTAAATACACGTCTTTAATTAAATACACGTAAAGTCAACCATCTTTGCTCTACCACATTCCCTTAGACATGGTACTTTTTTTTCAGCAATAAGAAACAAAATGACAACGTATCAAAAACCCTATGTCATCTGAACCAACTCATTTACAAATCCCATTATTACTTTTTGCCTTCTATGCTATAGTCGGCTCTTTGCTAGACAAAAGAAGGTGTAAAAAGGAGACAAATGGGTAAAAAGCATAAAAAAATCTGACCAACCATGCAGTACATTTTCTCTCGTAAATCAAAGGACCTGAGTGTCAAACTCAAAGAATCCAGAAAAGCTCAAATACCTGGAAGGGCTAGAGCATTTGAAGGACCGGAAGCTTGTTGGGATTCATCTGACTTGCCATGACTGGGAGGCTGACTACTTGGGCTCTTTAGCCCTCCATACTCAGCATTAAACTACACCATTGAAATGCACTTAACATTAGAACCCATAAGTCCATTCTCTCATATAAAAAAAAAGACCAAATCAAATAGGAATAGGAACACCATAAATTTGATAAGTTGAAGAATGAACATCAAATGGCTTCATTCTCAAATAGTGTGCTAGTTTAATTTACAAAAAAAACATAACAATTTACTCCACCAAAAGCATAAGAACTCATCAAACTAAGCCAACACATATCCCAAAAACCAAAATATTATATTCATAGATTAAATTATAATCACTAACCTTATGGCTCGTCCTTATCTTCTTACTGCATCAAACAAAAACCAAAAAATAAACACACACACAAAGGAAAAAAAAAATCAGTTAGTAGATAAAATTGAGAGTATTAAAAGTGTTGGAATTGAAAATTAGGGTTTACAAAAGACGAGAGAGAGAGAGAGAGAGAGATCACCTCTCGGGGTCAGGAGGAGGAAAGTGAGAATGGAGAGGAGAGAAGAGATCGAGAGCGCGCTTTAGGGATTTGAAACTGAGCTTCTTCAGTGACTGTGGCTCCACTGGCTCCATCTCCATTGTTGGTCCTGGCATCTTCTCTTTTTCGGTGAGAGAGAGAGGAGACCCCTAGAGAGAATGGATTTATTTATCACTGTTTTAACAGGTCGGCGGATTAAGCCCATGGGCCTTTCTAATAGGTTGGCGGACTAAACCCAGACCACAAGTCTGCCGGGTCAGGCAAACGACAAAAGGTTCGGTTCGGTCATCATTGAAGACATATTTAGACCTATTTTGAGAAGATGGTAAAAGTAATTTTTTGGGTCTTAACTAAGCTTTTGATTTTTTTAGACAAATAATTTAAAAAGTGGGTAAAAAGTTGCTTTTAGCTTTTTTTATTAATATTTATTTATGATATCAAATCATAATAAAATAACTAAACTACTCCTATTTAGTTTAAAATGTTTACAACTTCACCCATATAGCACATTTTGACTCATGAGGGGTAAAATTATAATTTCACCCTTGGCTAAAAACCAACTTTCCAAATAAAAAAAAAATCAAAAAAATCAACTTTTAACTTTTGTTATAAACCAAAAAAAAGTAACTAAAAGCCAACTTCTCAAAACAAGCTTTAGTATTGAATCATTCTTTTGATTTCTATAGTTGAAAAATCGATACAAATCATACGATACGGCTCAATTTTATTGATTTGATATAAAATAAAATTTCGCATGGGTTTTAAAAAATTTTATAATAGATTATAGAATTTTATATTGAAAATAAATGAAAAAAGTGTGTGGAAATTGCTTTATGAATAATTTTCTTCCTAATTTTTTATCACAAAAGTGTATTATATTAATTACTTATCATATGATTGGTCATATAATGTTTAAGAAATTATAACATAAAAGTATTTAAATATAATATTCGACCAGTTTGGTTTGAATTGGTATGAAATTTTTTAGAACGAAATAGATCGTATGTTATGAAAAATTGACCGAAAATTAAAATTTTAGTTGTTTCGATCAATCAACTCGGTTCCATCGATTTAGGGTTTAAAAGAAAATTAATTAATTATGGCATAAGTAAGCCCATAAAGATTATAGCCCACCATTTAAGGCCCAATACACAACTCAAATACTAAGGCCCAGCACTGCCAAAGCCCCGCGTAGCAATAAGAATCAATGACATCAAGACACACGTCAAGAGAAGGGTAAGCCACATAAACAGATAAAGATCTGCAAAGTTATTACCACGGCACATCGCCATTAATGAAACCCCTTACAACATTTATTGCGATAACCCCTCTCCGTCGGGACAGAACGCCTTCTCCATGAACAAGGTAAGCTAGAGCATAGACTTTCGGCCAAGGTGACAGGTCGGAAGGGACAACGAAATGATTACCAGAGGATATAAGCAGACGTCGAAGACAAGAATAAGGTTAAGCTTTTCTATCTCTAATCTATCTACACGTTCCACTTCTCTCTCTAACTTGCTCGTCGGAGGGTTCGCTGGGGGACTCCTCGTTCCCCGTTGAACTCTTGTGCAGATCCTCTGGTGGGCTTGGTCATTTGGACATAGGCTTGAGAAGCGTGGATCAGTCCGACCCGTTCCATCTGGAACCCGTTGTTCCATCAGCTGGCGCCGTCTGTGGGAAAGATTTTTGTTCCGCGCGCCAGTTGCTCATTGTCGCTGGAGACCCTCTCCCGATAACCCCCTCCTACCACCTGTGAAGGTGGATGGTCATAACTAGATCCGTGGCTTCTCACCCCAATGTTCCCGATCATCAAGTCGACCCTCCCAATCCAAATAACCCACCATAGTATTTCACCGAGCTCACCAACAGCATTAACCGCTTGGCTGAGCAAAACCAAGCCCTGATTAATGCTCTACTCCAAAGAAACATTCCTATGCCTCATCTACCACCTCCAGATATTCCACCGAACCAAGAACGAGCCCCGAGCCATACTATCCTGCAGCCTAACCCACCCAACTTGGAAGGCTTGTGAGCTCCCCTCCTGGATATAAACCTGCCACCCCAGGCCCCACATCCATCGGTCCCGGTCCCAACCCCCGAGGGAGAGGCCAGTAGTGTCCAGCCCCCACTCCCCTCTGGTGGTGACAACATTTCTCTCTGGGATGCAGAACTCTGAGCCATGAAGCGCCAGAACATACAGCATAAACCATCCACCACGGCTAACTCGTCGTTCGTTGCCTCCATCCGGGACAAACCTCTACCCCCCAAGTTCAAAATGCCCACCATCGACTCGTTCGACGGTACAACGAACCCAGTCGATCACTTGGAGACCTACAGAACCCTCATGATCCTCCATGCATTCCCCGACGAAATCATATGTCGGGCTTTCCCCGTAACACTCAAGGGGTCGGCTCGACTTTGGTTTAGTCAACTGCCAGCAGACTCTGTCTCCACTTTCCAGCACCTCAGTGACTCCTTCATCAACCATTTCATTAGAGCCCAGCGCCAGCGACGTCCAGCAACCCAATTCCTCAATATCTGTCAGACAAAGGGGAAGTCGCTGCGTAGTTTCGTTACCTGCTTTAACACCAAAGCCTTACAGGTAGGAGTAGGCGCGGATCGGTTGCGGCCACGAAACCTCTAATCCGCCATCCCTCCGCCAAATTGGCGGATTGGAGAAAATCAATCAGCATCCGTCCGTCAATCCAGCGGATGCGGATTTGGCGGATTGGCGGATGGATGCGAATCGGTTTGGCGATTTAAAATTTTACAAATTTTCAACATACAAAAAAAAAAAATTGTGCATAATTCAACATCTATTTATTCATTACAATGGGCAATGCAACCTGGACATAATTCAAAATTCAAAATCATTTATTCATGGAAAACATTCACATCATTTGTTCAAAATCATTTATTCATTCACATCTATGAAACATGGAAAACATTGCGCACAATTCAACATCTATTTATTCATTACAATGGGAAATGCAACCTGGGCATAATTCAAAATTCAAAATCATTTATTCATGGAAAACATTCACGTCATAATTCAAAATCATTTATTCATTCACATCTATGAAACATGGAAAACATTGTGCATAATTCAACATCTATGAAACTTGTTGCTGCTAGTGCAACCTGGAAAACATGGAAAACATCTATGAAACTTGGAAAACATCTATAAACCCGCTGCTAGTGCAACTTGGATTGTAATGGGCATAATTCAATATTGGTTCCAATGGCCATAATTCAATATCACCCAAAACATTGTGCATCCAATATGCATAAATCATCTTACACATAAAATATAAGGAAAACATTGTGCATCCATCCAAGTAACAGTCATCCAAGAGTTCCAAAAATAAAAAAGTTACAGTCGTCCAACAAACATTATGCATCAAAAAAAAAAAGTTGCAGTCATCCAACAAATATTGTGCATCCAAAAAAAATAAGTTACAGTCATCCAAAAAGTAGCAAAAAAACCATTCAGTTCTTTTCACCAAATCATGAGCCATGTAAACCTGCACAACAAAAAAATGAAATTATTTATAAAGAAAACACTAAAAAATTTTAAACTTAAAACAAGTAAACATATGTTAACAACATTTAACCAAGGAGAAATATTTTACCAATAATATTAAACTTCAATAAAATTAGTCTCCGAACTTGGGCTTGAACATTAGCTTGACTCCGAAACAACTACACAAAAAACATAACACAACAAAATATGTAAAGTAAAGATAATGAATTTTGAATAATACAAAATGAATGAAATGGATAAAAAATTAAATAAATCATTGTATATATTACTCGAATCATATTGTTGTTCAAATTGCTCAACATCCTCCATTGCTTGTCTAAGGCACATTGGAATGTTATTTCAAAGCCAATTTTGTGCACAAACAAGAACCTCCACCATCTTTGGAGCAAGTGAACTACGAAATGGATCAAGTATTCGACCTCCTGTACTAAAAGCCGACTCAGAAGCAATAGTGGAAATAGGCATCGCCAACATATCTCGTGCTATAAGTGAAAATACTCTATACTTTGTTGCATTAACCTTCCACCACTCCAAGATATCAAATTGAGAATTATTCCCACCTTTCTCAATATCACCCAAGTACTTGTCCAATTCCGACATACTCCCACTACTAGAAAATTGCCCCTCCAAAAATGAGTTAAATTGGGAGTTCACAATAGAGTGTTGGTCATTTTCATCTATCACCATATCTACTCTTTCATTTACATTGGAGGCATGCACATTTGTTGGCTCAAGTGTGGCATAATGATCATAAAATTTGCCCAAACAATTTTTGACTTTGTTTAACATTTCTTTCACTTTCACGATATTTCCACCAAAAATTGTTGCAAAACAAAATTGCAAGTATGTTATTTTTCTTCTAGGATCAAACACAACCGCAACATACAAAAGTAGATTGATTTTATCCCTATTTCTCCAATACTTGTCAAACTTCTCTTTCATTTTCTTTGCCATTGAAGACAAAATAGGATCATTGTCTTTGATTAATTGTCCAATCATATTTTCAATGACAAAAATTTCAGTGTAGAATGTGTTTGAAGTAACAAATAAAGACCCAGAAAATCTCTTTGTGGCATTGTAGAACATTCTAAGAAATTTCAAAAACACCCTACAATTATTCCAATCCTCGGCTGTAGGCATCTGTCTCTTCTCACCCCCCTCATTATCCAAAAAGTAGTGTTTGTAATTGTAGTCCTCTTCACCCATTCTTTGAAAAGCACTCTCAAATTTTTCTGTTGCCTCAAACATAAGATATGTTGAATTCCACCGTGTTGGCACATCTAGGCACAAGAGACTCTTACTCTCAATTTTCAAAATTTCCACATATTTTTTAAAAGTGTCAAGGCGGTTTGGAAAAGACCTCACATACCTCACTGCATGCCTCACATTCGCTATACAAGACTCAAGATCCTTCAATCCATCACTAACAATAAGATTTAGAATATGCGCACAACAATACATGTGTAAAAATTCATGGCCCAAGATAGTTCCCTTCCACAATTTTGTTGTTCGTTTCAAGAATCTAATGGTTAGATTATTGGAACTCGCATTATCCACAGTTAAGGTAAAAAGGCCATCAATGTCCCACTCCGTTAAAAGTGCCTCAATTTTTTTACCACGAGTTTCTCCTTTGTGGTCTTCAA